GTGTTGTATGCCTTGTACTTCGATTGCGAAGCCATATTGCGGATAAAATATATCAAGTTCTAGTCCATTTGGATATTCTTGTGTCTTTAAGAAATCGGGTCTGTGGATTGTGAAGAGGCACCAAGATACTTTGTTAAAATTTCATGACACAGATTTTCTCTCTTATATTTTGGGCAGAATGGGTACCAGGAGTTTGAATATTTAACGTTAACAAAAGTAGTAAACTATCTATGCTTTTTATCGCACATCCATAATAAAGCTGAATGATTATTTGCGCGAGTGTCATCATGATAAAAATGATAAAAAATTTTATAATAAAGAGCGTTGGTACTTATATTCAATGATAATATAAATTGCAGAATAGAATCTACTGTAGTTGACAACACAAATTTACCGTTGTTGGCAAAGAACTGGTATTATATCCGAAGACGATAACATGTTGATGCTGAAGAAGAGATTGAAAATACATAATCACTTATCAAAAACGGAACTTAATGCAGAAGTTTGGAGGCATCCGGCATAAACGATAATGAAATTATCGCTTTAGTTCAAGAAACAGCTGAGGAAGAGTGTGAGAGCAACGATGATTTATCTCTATTACCGGTGTCGGCTTTAGAAAGTGTCGAAGATATATTGCGTTATTTAAAAATAAGAAACAAACTACTCTAAATAGTTTTTTTTTTGCAAATTAAGTTTATTATATTCATTTAGATCACGTGATTTCGATAAGTCGGCCAAAATAGCCCAACTTATCGAGGTTGACTATGTATCAGTTTTTGGATTGACTGTTTATATTAAGACGAGATAACATATGCCCAATTTCATCTACTTTCTAATAGAGTTATCTTTTTGCTGTGGACGAGGTCTTTGAAAAGGTTTTTCAGGATAATTTGAATCTAAATCTTCTTTACTAATATACCTAATCATTTAAGTTTACCAGGAATGTAGAAAAACTATAGAGAATGAATAGTGTTATAAAATTTACACCGAAATTGTCCTAAAAAGCCCACTATTATATGAAGAAAAGGGTAGAAAAGAGGGTAAATCAACGTATTTGACAAAAAAAATCAATTGACCATTAGATTTTTATTTTACATCATTACTTATGTGCAGATGTAAAATGAATACAAATGGGTTGAGAAATAAAAATTTAAAGTTCTCATTATTTTCCGCCAATACTGTAAAGAAATTGAATGAAGGCGAAAATATCTACAGATAATGCGGGTGGTCAGTATAAAAAATAGTGCCATTATTTTAGTAATTTGCGGTTATGATGAAAGATTCATTATATACACCAAGTTCAAGCGTGATATAAGCTTTGTATTTGGGTTAATTAAGAAACTATACGAAAGATGCGGATGGATCATATTGTTAAAAATCAGGTACGTTTGGAACCAATTATTATTACTATCAAAGTTATAGAAGCAACCTCCATATAATCACAACCTCTTAAAAAAACATTTCAACACAAGTTACATCGTTCCCAACAGTATGATTATAGAGAAGGTCAACCGTAGTCTTAAGTGCAGTCTTTGCCAGTTCTAAAGCATTACAAGTCCCCCGCCTCCAGAGGTGTTTCTATTTTAGACGAAGTCATTGTGTAATGAAACAACTCTCACCTTCGAAAGTGTTTAAACCTATAAATATAACGCTAATAGATCCAAAACTGGAAAAGTTAACCATACGCATATTGTATACTGTCCCATATTTACAATACATAGTTGTATAATGTAGGCCAGTTGGTAAGAATTTCCACTTAAAAAAGTAGAGACGAAAATTTTAAATTTGTTGACGTAAAAGTTAGACATTGCTCTTAACCCAAAGGGCTTTTTCTTGTTACACGTAGAAAACCAAAAACGCCAATTTATTATTATTATCGTTCTAACTTATTTGTGAATCCAGATAATCGTAATCAAGATTAAACTAGACATTTAAATTGGTGCCTTGTGGCTGAAATATTCACAATTCTCCGTTCTCAATCGGATATGTTAGGACTTTATGATTATGGCCCATCTGGGAACTGTTACAAAGTACATTGAATACATGACTTGATAAAAGAATATTCGTTGGTACGACACTGACCGTCGTCTTCATTTAGGTCCGCCTTCTCTTGTCCTTCCTTCGAATTCCCTATAATCGGATTTCTGTAGATTTAACCAAGGACAAAACAAAACTTTCAGAAGTTCTTTCGCCGATATCTCGCAGTGGCCAATTACCGGTACTTGCGATACCTATAGACCACGATCACAACAATGAAACGCTTCGCGAATCCGCCCGCCAAGCCGTGCTGGATGGGACTCCGAGCGTTATACCAGTTCCCTCAACGTCTACGTTTCTAACCGAATCCAATGCAATCCTTCTCTACCTTGCCTCTTCCACACCACTTCTTCCATCCTCCAATCCGCTGCATGTAGCTCAGATCAACGAATGGCTGTTCTGGGAACAGCATTCTCACGAACCGAACATCGCCACTTTGCGGTGGTGGCTTAGGTTTATGGATCTGGGAGAAGATGAGAGATATTTGGATCAGATAGTGGAAAAGCAGAAAAGAGGGTACAAGGCTTTGGAAGTTATGGAAAAACATTTGGACAAAAGAGAGTGGTTTATAAACGATGAGGTTTGTGTTGTCGACGTTGCCTTGTATGCTTATACCTGTGTCTGTGAGGAAGGGGGTTTCAGTATTGACAGTTTCCCAAATGTAAAGAAATGGCTGAAAAGATTTGAGGGATTACCTGGGTATATTGGAATTGATGATTAAAGACCGGAATATTAAAGTGGAAAACTTGCGACGCATCCAAACATAAGCCATACAATAAAGTAGCAATTCATTTATTTACATCATGTTTCAAGTCTTAATAACAAACTATCTATTCTGTACAAATAAATGTCTTTTTATCGCGGTAAAGCTTAGAGCCTTAGTATTATAATCAACATGCCGACAACAAATATGATAATGGTTGACCAGCTTGAATACTTTCCCCATACGCGAAACTCGTATGGGCGCACATTTGGTGTGGATACGAGATGTGTCTTTGCAGCTGCTATAATAATAAAAATAGACCACAAATTTGGTGAAAACGAATTAACATTTGCTGCAGAAGACACTACATAAATACTTACCAGTAACTATCATTCCAGCACTACTACTCGTTGCCGTGAAATTACCATATATTGCTATACCCCATACAAATAACAACCACGCATCATTACGCAACCAGCTTGGAACACTACTCGGAATATACGGAGCAACCAACAATACGGTAGGTACAGAGCCGAATACATAGCATAATACGGTAATCAATACCGAGAATGTAATTATGGACAACAAAAATTTTGGATCTTCTTCAGGCTTAATAATGTTTGCTCCGTAATGTTTCCAGAAGAGATCCGGAAATGGAGTAGTCATCAACCCTTGTATAATCCCAAACATCCCAACTAAATATATCAACAGATTCCAATTTAATTTTTCGAATACGCCTCTTGCGTCTCTTCCATCTATCATCAACAATATTATTGCGCCCGTGATCGTTGTAAAGCCGACACTTTCACCAACGAAATATCCAATATACATTCCCAGTATGATTATCAGAAACAAAGTCTTCTTCACTACTTCTTCATCAGCGAACATTTTACGAGTAAAATCTATTCTCTTGTGTATATTTGTACCTTTGAATATAGATGCAATATGTAGTTGAGGAAACACGCGATTTTCACGTGATAATGGTGGAGCTGTCCATATGAATCGAGTGAGTGACGCCTGATTTGGTTTTGTTTCTCTTCTTATTGCATATGGTCCATCTCGCTGTTCATCATACATTGGTACTGGTATCTCATGTGAATAATTCATTGGTGGAGGAAGTGTTTCTGGCGATGACGTAAATGTATCTGTGTATAATGGTTGCAGTCTTGGATCTTTTGATTTGCTAAACAGATATTCTGTTTCACCCTCGTTATCCGAAAGGTCCTCCATACTGTCTCTGTCATCATCTCCCGATGCATCATTATTTTCAATCATAAACATAACGTTCTCTTCATCTGAATCTAATTCAGAAAACGTGTGTCTACGAGCATTCTCTGTGATTGTTGATGTTCCTGCATACGGACTGTCGTTGAGAGCTGATTCGGGAAGCCGGTTTGTCCTTTTGGGAATGTATTGTTTGAGAGGAATGCTATCTAACTTATCACGATAAGATAAATAAATGAAAAGAGTGTTTAGAATTGTCCCCACTATAGATGGCGGGCCTAAATATTGAGAAAATTTGCTAAACGAAAACTCCGGTTCCGCAAGGTCGTTAATGATTAGATTCTTTGCATTGCCAATCACTAGTTATTAAAGTAAATAGTAAACGAATGAGTGTTAATTGATTTATTATTTAGCAGAAACCAAACATGACATGGCACGCACCAGTAGCAGCAGATCCGATATTGGCCGAAGTTGTCTGGTTATCCAAAAAAATAAATAAATAAATAAAGAGGATAAGCAATTGACGCCGAATAAACAATTTGCGCAGAACAGAACAAAGGGGAATATTAGTACAAATATAAATAGTAAACAATACAGAGGATTCATACTCAGGATCTCTCTTTGGTGATTTCGGATCTTTCGGTGTTTAACGAACCTATCCGCATGATCACCCAGTGTTTTCTGGATACAAATTCCCTTTGTTTACTCTAAATTGTCCCTGGCATACTTACCAAAGCGATCAGGTAAGGCTCAAATGTCAAACCATTTTCCTCGCAAATGGCAAATACAATTGGTGACAAAACGACCATTATGTCACTCATAAACAGTGCACTGAGTACGGCAGATGATATTGATACTCTGACCAGGAATTTCAACGGAGTTACATCCTTCCCGCATAGTAACCCACTTTTTATTATTTCTATCCAACCTTTCTCTTCCAACAATAAACTGATAATCATAAATCCGCTGATAGTAAGCAACGTTTCGCTATACAGTCCGTTGAAAGCTTCCTCAGGGGTAATGACAGTTAGTACAACCATGAGAGAACAACTGAGCAGAGTGATAATGGACCTTGGCTGTGCAAAGTGACGACGTCTTGTCGATATCCAAGTCAATATGAATATGGTCAGTGCTATGTACGAACGTATATTAGTGAAGCCATATTTGTGTTGCGGAAACGAGTCCTCGTCGTCCATTGTAGATGTAGCAACACGTCGGATTTACTGATATCCGCTACATTATCTTATATTTATATACGTGATTGAGGTTGACGTAACTCGATAACAAGACATGAGTAACATGATCGTGTCAATAGAAAACCGGTGCGCATATGCTATGTATGGGGCAATAAAAAAATTTTTAGAGTTTAAAATAAAAATCGTTAGTTCCCCACCACTATTATATTCCTATTATAAAGGTTTCAAGTTACACATAAGCGTAATATGTATGGGGGCACTCGAAATTAACTCCGAAAGCTTCCGAACGGCGTTTTACTAATGAACACTAGCGGACAAGTTAATTACATCGTATTCGACATCCCTTACAACTTGGCTCCCGCTCGCGTCATATTCGATCGTATTACTATTATGTAATGTGTTGGTCTTCCATATCATTTTGAATTGAGGGCTAACCGGGCTCGAAATAAAAGGAATTGGGAAATTCCGGGATAAAAAAAATGCGCTTAGCAATATCGGCGCACACTTACATGCATACTCGGTCTTTTGAATTAATTTGGTGGTTTGAACAAGGTAATTGATATTAATTGTTCCATGGAACATTCGTGTACCCCATAACAACTTTACTTGACAATTTAAAGGCATCATATTGACATTACGAGGAGTTGTTTCAGCACAAAATCTCTTCATTATTCAAAATGGCAAGTGCTTTGCGTCTCTACAACACGCAGCAAGTGTGATTAGTAACTCGCATCGACGTCTTTTAATCAGCGAGCTGCATGCTATTGACAAAGTTTGTGAATAATTAAGCATGCGGGGCATGCATAATAAGGATATTAATGAACGTAAAGTACATATTAACTGTTGAAGGATTGAATTTTAATATTAACAATAGCAGTAATATTCAAGATAAACTAGTCTTTGTCAAATTAAATTGTCAGTTAAGTGTTGTGTTTTCAAACTAGCAAGAGTAAGCACATCAACTTGTTCTAAAGACGGGTGTACTCGGTCTAGTCCGATCGCAGCTCTAATTTTCGGTCTTTTAATCGGTCCGAGGACCCTACTTGAACGGACTTTGTCATTTATTATTATATAACCGTCGCTCCGACAGTTTTAACAGTATGGTATATGGACTGGAAATCGTAGCGTATTAACCGAAAGCGTGCATATTTTCAGAACATGAGATATACCATCGAAAGTTCTGAGCATATGCATGATGACACAATAGACTGCGAAATGCTAATTTTTGCGTTGAGAGCTTTTCTTGGTCGAGCGTTTCAGAAAGAGTCACCCTTTGTAAGTCGGGAGAGAATAAATCCGCCTTGGCCTTATTTTTACTGCTCATATGGGTGAGAGGTTGTGACTTGCTCAACTATTGCCGATTTTATCAATATCATCTATGTATGTTAATAGAGGGTCTCGGACTTGATTAGTTGTTAACTTGCTCGGTTATAAATTGATATCGCTCATCCTTCTTGTTTTATATAAAATTCAGTTGCGAAATAATTTCGGCCTTAACGCACAAAAAGATACCGACTTATATGGAAACGCGCGCTTATATTTATTTATGTATTTTGGACGCACGAGCAAGAGCAAGAGCTCGAATTTGAAGAGTGCGGTAAATTGCTAAATTATATGCTGATAAGTTACAACCCCACTTTGTCAGTGTCATTGCTCAAGACGCTTACCAACTGTCCGATCTCATAAAGTATGGTATCACAAGAGTAGCACAGACCCAAAATGGACTTATACCAGATTTTTTACCTTTTTGTAATGATTATTATTCCAAAGAGAATCTCATAATAACTTGTCATATGATGATTTGAGTAACCCTCTCGCAATAAGGTATGAAACAAACGCGTGCAAATTTGGGAAAGGGGTAAAAAATTGGCGTAACACGAAAGGTGCTGTCTCATTGTCAGATCATGCTAACTTATAAAAGTAAGAAAAAAATAAGTTACCAGGAGAATAATTCTTGGCGTAAAGACGTAATACGCAAATTATTTTAACCCTTATTTAACAGTGGCAATGTTGCCATTAATGTGCTATCAAAGGTGTTGTGCGTATAATTTTAACTTAATTATCTGTATTTAAGTATTATCATAATCATTATTACGCATTATTAACAAATCATCTATGATCTAGCACAGCATACAATTGTTCGTCTATTTATGGACATTTATGAATCAATTGCAACAATTTATGCACATGAGCTCCCGACTGCATAAAGTTGGTTCATCAATACGTGGTATTAATCTCTGTTTGGGGGGAATCATGTGACGGAATCACTTACGGTATGTCTAGGAATGGAAATTGAAAAAAATGGGTTTGAAGTCCTCTCTTCCTCTCATCTTTATCTGAAAACTCAATATGCGCAGAGATCTTCTTTGCAAATCATTCAATCATAATAAACACAGTGTTTCGCTTAAAAATAAATGCTATTTTTAAAGTCGATGGGAAACAAAAGCACGGAATGAAACGTTTTCAATTGAGCCATTCTCTGGTTGGTCGTTTTTAGATTGAACGGGGTATTGATATTTCAATTTCCGAATGAAGTGATTTCTAACAGTGACGATTCTAAAAGTTAACCAAAGCTTATTCACGTAGCAACATACGCATCCTCTACTGTAATCTTAAAAGAAGAGATGTATTCTAAATTTTGCTCTATTTAATAAAAAACATCAGTTAAGCAAATCAATTTTGCCTGCTTGTCTTCAAGCAAGCGAGGATCGGCATTATTATTATGTGAAAACCCAATCGCCGATCAAGATTTAATTATTTTCATAGCTTTTCCTACTTCTGACGGCAGCCAATAACCTCACATCTCCCAGATACCAATCCTAAAGATATTCGCCCTCGAGTTCCTAATTCGAAATCTTGGTTGTCTAAAATGCATTTCCCACTTAAGCGAATAACAGTCGTAATTCCACGAGAACGTTCACGGGACAAAGTAAAAAACGGATAGTATAGGAATTGGTATGATTTACGACAACTAGCAGAACGAAGCATTAATAATGTATCCATAGTATAAATTACAATTTACTTATTATAATAAAAACTTGAACACACCGAGAGTTGTGCTTCTTTCAAGATATCAGTTTTTTCTAACTATGGGTTATTTACTGATTATGCTATTTTTGCTATCATACGCGCCGAATGTCACTTTACGGGGAGAAACATATGTCATTGCTTAATCACAAAGCTGTAATTAAGATAACTTTTTTTCAAATCATTTAAAGTTGCAAATCTGTATTAATACTGCACTTCGCCGTTCATAAACGTTGCCACCCACTTACCGTGTAGGCGTGCAGGAATCAAACTATCTAGGACTTGCAAAAAATTATGCCAATCGATAATGCTGTTAACAACGTATACATAAACATTCCATTTCTAACCCTATCCTTAGAGGAAAGCCCAAGTATTTATACCTGTTCCAAAAATGTTCTGAAATATGGGACGGCAACTAAATTGGTTTTGAGGGCATTTTGTTTTAAAGTTATTTTACCTCATTATTGTTTGTTGGTATCAGCACATTTGCTTATATTTCTTTTTAATTGGAGTTTTTTTACAGAAAAATTTCTTACAGACCCAGTTATTTTTACGTTAGCATGCACCTAATCTTGAAGAAAATTATGTCACATACGGAACGAGACAAAAGAGTTATCGGTAAACAAGCCCAGCCACGACAATTTCGCTTTGTCGCTGAATTGGCCGTAGCCACACAGCCCTTATTTGGTAATGCTTAGACAAGTTACAATAAAAAAAATTCTATAAGCAGAAAGTATCTAGTTTACATAAATTTATTAAAGCGCGAGCTTGTAATTGTTGTGTTATATTGTGTTGCCGAATACTCTCTATTTGGTAAAAAAAAAACAAGTTTTGCGGTATTTATTACACTTGTTTTTTATTTACTACATTATCGTATCATTTGGGTACCATTCTAATAATTTATTTCTCTTTGAGGCTTTAATAGAATATAATGCAATTAGTGTTTTGCATCATTGTTTACCTGATCAGACTGTCTTGACGCTTATCTCATATCTGACGGTCAATGGCTACTACTATTATAATAATAATATGAGATATAGACAGAACGCGTTAAGAAGAATGTCATTATGTTCGAAGAGATCCGACCTAGAATTGGGCATATTCTAGTATTGTACTTTTTGGTCTATTGTTGTGAAGGAAATTAATGAAATTATTGTAATTACAATTAAGTGCTCTGGTGTACGTTGCGCCGAATACTTGCAGTTTTAAAATTACGTTTTTAGAAAGCGAACTCGATGAATACTATCAGCACAACTTAAACACGTTGAAGAAAAATAAACTTTATGTATTTATACTTAACGCACAGATAAATCCAGCAAATTAAGTGTTTACAAAAATGCTTTGTTGTTTTTTATCTTACGGGTTATAATAACGTCTGCATGCACATACATTGCTACAAAAACGGTTTACGATTTATTGCCGATCCCCTTCTTTGCTATGACAATAAACCCAATTTCATAGAAGACGAAAGTTAGAGCTCAATTTAAAATTATTGTTAGCAAAAACGCATTAATTACATGAGCTGGAAAACCGCACCATAAAAGACTCAACGTCAATACTAAGTATAAAAAGTCAGCTGAGAATGTCAGTTAAAATTTGGGGGGAGAGGTAGCAATCTTCCTCGCTCATTCAAGAACATGCAAAAGTCTGTAATGATGCATAAAGAATTGTTATGGACTGTGCACTGCATACGAACCAAACGAATGTTGCAATAAATATTAATAACAGTTTAATCGTCGAATGCTTTTTTCAGAAGCAATTAGTTACTCTTAGGTTTATAGCAAAAACTGTGAGCCGTTTAAACGTATTCACAATTTTCGCTATCAATTTTGGCATGAACTTGTAAATTTATATTGAATGGCGATAATATTATTCATCATAGACGATGCGCATTTTTGTAGATAGCCAGACAAGAGCAAAAAATTGCTATTTCTTAATGCCAAATATATTCTGCACGCGCAATAATTCCGGTTTACACGCAATCAGTAACTTGTTGACACCGTTAAAACATGGTTTTCCGAATCCATTGCTCATCATTTATGAAGGACATATTTTACTGCAAAACACGATTTTCGGCTATTACTGTATAGACAGTATATTCGGTAGTGTATGGATCTATTGGCAAACTACGCAGAAATTCTTTTCCTGACACCGGAATCTCTTGTGCTCAGTCCATAGCTGTGCGACACTTGGATCTGCAGGGTGTGCTAATTATACTTGCATAAAAGTAGGTTAAGATGCTTGAATTTATCAATGTCCGCCCGTTATAGTTTTACCGTTTTCAACTGCTTCCAAGAACGTAACATTTCTTTGTAGGTGGTGCTATGACGCGATAAATCAAAAACAAAATATCATCATAATACTGTGCTTTCAACAGAAAAGATGACAACCTATACTTTGATTGTTGAACCCTTTGTATGTTAAAACATAAGACTTTCTACGCGTAGAATCTAGTTTGGAAACAGCTTGTAGTCTTCTGCCTGCGAAAGCCCCGCTATCGATACAAAAACCGCAGTATCTTTTTGCGTCGTCTCGTTTGTTCTTTCTTTTTTTTAAATATTTTGACTGATGAACGTTTACTCTGACCGGGAATACGGCATTTACACATATCAATCGGTTGCCTTCTACCACGGATTTGAAGGATTAACAATATCAAGTGTTCTTTGCCATACACCCAATCAGCAGAAAGTTGATCAGTTCAAACACAAGCAACTGTGACATCATGTTCACTTTAGTACATTATTCCTGAAGCAACTTTAGTAACAGCAATGAGGATCTGACCAATTACGTGATTATGTACCGAGCGAGAGCCTGATTTCGTATCAAATAACATTAATCTCATGTGTTTCATCTGCAAGATGCGCGCCTTTCTCATGACAACAATTTGTGCGCCTAATTACAGTTAAACGGTGTGAAAACATGAAACACCTACCCAAGCATGCATAAGCTCGATTCATATAACTCGCAACACTGACAATCAGCGATTGCTGCATATGATTGAACCTAATATGGAACCACTAGTCGACTATACGGGCACTCAAAGTTATACAGGCACAGCACAACTAACAAACAAACTATCCACTTGTACGTTGATGTTGATCACGAGCATGTATTTGTAGGTATGATAGAAATATTCTCCAGCGTAGAGAAACAAGATAACAATGAGGTATTGGATGAGTATATATATTCAATCTATATATAATTCAATCTATAAGTAGAATAAATTGACTGTAAAAACTTAGTGCAATGAAAATGTGTAAAGAAGGGGGGAAACTTAGAGCGTAGACATAAAATATGTTATTAAAGGAAAGTGGATTAAGTCTCATTCCAAGTTTATAAAAACCTTTATAATAGTTTTGATTGAACCTTTCAGTTTTCACAGCGTTGAAAAAACTGTCAGAACTTTATAGGTTTTATGGTATACTGAATCTACTAGAAACGTGTTGAAAGTCTAAAGTCTAGCAGTGAAGAAGAAGCAAAGAAAAAAACAACAGTTGATGCTCTATATAGTTGAAAAAAGAATTTCAGATTTTTGTATTGTCTAAAGAAAAAAAAAGAATAGGTCTATAAGTTGAACAAAACTCTGTACATTATAATATATATAATGGTTATACACAGCAAAGGAAGAAAAAGATATGAAGAAAGAAGAAAAAAATATAAACCAAGGCATTACAAATAAAAGTCCTAATCATATATCGAATGTATATATGTGAAACTGGTATTTGCAAGAATGGATAAGAATGGGTGGTGACATTAAGTCTATCTCAAAATGATAACCAGCATGACATAACTTTTGAAAAAGAAAAAAGCGCTTGATGCGGAAAACCAGCCACAAGACCAAGCCTTTGTATCTTTGTTCTTTAGTGTTTCTTACAATTAAGAAACCGTTCCCTTGCACCGTCGCCGCACAAATCCCCCCATCGAATCCATATGAACATTACCAAAAAACGAAATGAAGTTCAGTGACAAAAGGGAAAGCAAAAAAAAAATAAAGGGAAAGCTAAAGAATTATAACAATTAAGAAAAGTATAAATGATAAGGGAGAAGACAAAGAAATGATATTGACGTACAACACAATCCTTGCCTTTTTTTTTTTTAAAGAAATTTGACTACAACGATAAAAATCCCATCCGATCCCGCACAAATTAACTATAACACCTATTCATAAATCACAATCCCATTCGCACGTGTAGTGTAATTAAAACCATTTTGTCTCTATGCCAGCAGCATTAACAACACCCGCACCGCACCATTTTACAATCTCAAAGTAGTGTAGATTGCATTTAACTGCCGCTGATCTTCACTGTTTCGAGTATTATCCCATCGAATGTCTTGTGGTGGCAGCTGAGTAGGTGGAGGATAACTACTCGGGAAAGACAGTTGCTGAGGTTGAGGGAAAGTATACCTCCCGTTAGGAATATTGATCGGTGCCGACCCAACGTATCCCGACGAATCGTTACCTCCCGGCTGGATAAATTTGGCTGGTGGGTAAATAGCCATCGATGGTGTTGTTGCTGATGATGTTGGCGTTGTTGTTGTGGTATTATTAGTTGATCCATTTCTTCTGAAATGATCGAAATCTTCTTCTGTAGATGGTGAGGACGAGATCGAAGGAGTAGAGCATGCCGAATGCGAGTCTACTTGCATTGGATCCGAACCAGATAGTCTATGCGCGGCGTGAATATGAGAATGATGGTGAAGAGGCCAATAAGGTGGGGTGTTGCCGTCACTTGGGAAAGTTGGGTGACTGTGTTGGTGTTGATGGTGTGGATGATGTGGATGATGTGGATGATGGTGGTGGGCATGGTGCTGACCGGCGTAGTGCATATGACCGGCGTTGTCGACACTGGATGTTTCTGGGTACATTCCCTTGGGGATTGTGATTGATTTTAGTTTTTCATCTTGACTTGGTATCTGTAGTTTATTATTTATTACGTCTGCCTTAGTATAATAGCAGATTAGATGCAATTTCTGGTGATTACTTGCTGTAATAGAAAAGCTTTGTTTAACTAGTCCGCCGTGTTTGTATCTACTGCATTGCTCTGTCGTATTTGAAATCTTTTTCCCCTGATAGCTCTCACTTGAGTCTGTATCTTCACTAGAAAGATCGTTAAGGTTGTTGCTCCCGCGTGACCCTGATTTCCGCTTTGATTCTAGTTCTCTGTATGTGAGAAACGAGCCACTAACGCGGGAAGCTGACCATGACTTTCCGTCAGTCCAACGGCGCATACCAGCTTCACGTTCGTCCCAGACGAAGACTGAACCCGAGCGAATTTGTGAGCGTTCTTTCTCGGAGAGACGACGTTGTATGCGATTTAAGAAGCCCATACGGCAGGCTTCGAATAGTATGATGGCGTCCTGGGGTGCTTTGACGTAACCGTAGTATGTCTCCATTGAATTTATTTTAGGTAGTCTATTGTTGATGTGGATATATGTGTTGTGTGTAGTGTGTGTAGTATGTTGTGTTTAAAATGTCTAGCTGGTGAATAAGAACGGACGTGAAAATAATGAAAAGGTCAGTATTGAGCAAGTTGAAAAACACAAGGAAAATATATGCATATACATATATATCATTTAACGACACTCTTTTTGGTACGTTTTTAAATATTATGGTTTGTCCTTGTTTGAGAGAGAGAGAGAGAGAACAAGAGGGAGAAGAAAGAGAGACAAATAAAACACGCACTTGAACTCTTTATGACCTGGACTGGGGCTTAACTACATAGATTCTTATTCCCTCTCTCTCTAACATGACTAATGCGCCTTGTCAATATCTGCTCTTTTGCTTTTGATACTTACCAAAAGAGTTCTGTTACTCTATAGTCTAAGAGAAGTAATAAATTTCAGCCCTCCGCAGAGTTGAGAGTTGGGGGGGGGGGGGGTTTGTATGTTCTCAACAACCGTAGTGGAATTGTCAGGTATATTGCGTGCTTATGGTTGAGGTTCTTGGAGTGTATAAGTTGTAGAGAGATGTCTTTGATCAGTCAATGACCAAAAAGTAAGCGACTTTGAGACGAAAGAGAAAAAAAAAGGCTGGTGGGAAGGAAGAGACGATAAATGAGGTATGGACCTTATAAATTGATTTTAGAGTTGAGGGATTGGGGGTTTGTAGGATAAATAATAACAATATAAATAAATAAAAAGAATACGAATATGTTACACAATATATATTTAAATGTTTATAATCTACACTCTATTACATAATATGCGGTCATAGGCTATTTATATTAATTAGAATACTATTTATGTTAGAATGAATGGGAACAGTATGATTTTACAATAACAACGGGATGGATAAAAGAATGATTTACTAACCCCGTTATTATTAATGTTAAATAGGATTATATTTTAATAATCACTGTTCATTTTTATACTTCATTCTATTATTATTTAATTGTTTAAATGTATCCATGACAGCCCATGAATAAAAATGTTTATTGAGTTTATGCTTATTACGTGATTATCCAATACATAAACATATCGATAACACACCTCTTAATAATCCCATCACCTGACTTATTCCATATCAATTGTATCTAGGGATGTGTTGAGAATGTGATATAGGAGTGTAATAACAGATTGCGTGTATGTGTGGAATATCAGATTGCGTATATGCGTAGGGACTTGTAATAATAACAGATTGGTGTATGTGCAGAGACTTATAATCAGATTGCGTGTATGTGTGGAGACATGTTATAGATTGTGTGTATGCGTGGAAGACATGTTATGTTTATCATGACATCACTCGACCATCTAATAGTTTTACACCCTCTCTTCTGCTACAAATGTATGCATTTGCCATTGTTATATATAAACTGTATATCCACAAAAAATTTTTGTTCTTTGTAGGATGTGATCATCGTAGTATCTATGAAACGTATGCAGGTGTCTGCCACCAAAAGTAGAACAAAAATAGAATTGATAAAGGAGAGCGTTTTTTTTGATATGGAAGTGAAAATGAGGTTGCATCGAATAAGTATGCAACATGCGGGAGCTGTTAGTATGTGCGTAATACTACGTGAGCAAGGGCGTAAACATGTATTCGTTTTCATTTGGTTTCTTTACCCATATATCTAATATAAGCGCTCATGTATCTTCCGAATGCCGTAAATTTAATTAATACGTTACCCCATTTGTATGTGGATTGTTAGATAAAGGCCAAGTCAAGTGACCAAGCCAAGTAGCCAACTAGTCGGCAGCAAATAATATATGATGACCCGAACGTTCTATTATTGTTGAAGAGAAAGAGGGAAAAGGTGGGCAAGGTGGGCAAAGTGGGCGAGGTTGTTGTCTTTCAAGACGCGATAATATATATAATTCGTAAGCTAATGATGCAAATGACAGTATGAACTTTTTGGTTGGCACTATGTAAACTTTTTTTTTCCGCTTTTTTTTTTCCCTTCCCTTTCCCCCCTTATGCAGTGTGTTATCATCCTTATCAGTTTGTTAGTATTTTGAGTTATAGTTGTTGCAGTGTCTACTTCTATAAATAGTTATTGTGTGATAACAATAAAACAAAGACATATTACATATAACGTCATATTTGATTATGTTTTGTACCCGCAAATATCAATAGAACATAATATGCATCATAAATTATAAATTTCTGGGCAATGTTTCGTACTTGATTAGCCAAGTACAGCTAATTTATTGCCATAACATGCTTAGCAACATGCCGATAATTTTAATATCATTGACATACCGATAATTGCATGATATCAGACAGTCTCATTGTCGATTACCTACATTTACTTTGTGGCTATTCGTTGATCACCTTCTCGCAATGCCATATTCGACATTGAATGTCCTGTACATGGTAGTAAATTGAGTTAATTGACGGAATATCACTTCATACGGAAATTAAATTCATTTTAATTAGACTATGAATGGCGAATGGATGGAGAAGACGCTTGATAAATTTGACCGAACGGATAAAAGTCGCTAATTAATTGGCTTGATGAATAATAAACATACTGTTATAGTACATCATATTCGCAATATAATTTTTTATATTAGCCATATTTGTTTAATAGTGCTAAAAAGAGCTTGCTCATCTTTTCTTATCAGAGAGCTTGCTTATCTCATATTAATTTGTATCAAAATTTGCTTATCTTGATTGAGGCTTTTTTTCGACTTGTGTGTATCACTAGAACACCATACCAGCAAAATCAGCATTGATAGCTGCAACCACAGTAATGAGCACAATTTGTCTAGAGATAAGCTAATTGGATAACGTATTGGTGCTGATGCGTTGGTAATCTAATTGGCAACAATAGTAATATAAATATAGTGATAAATTATACAGCATTATCTATCATCTTGTTGTATACCTATTTATATTATCGTGTGCTTTAAGTTATCAGCAATGACAAGATGTTGTGGATCGATGTGATTGCTTGTGTGCCATTTTCATTAAGCTTAATTCTTTTCAAGCGTTTAAAATATAATTAAAAGTCTAAAGGATGGGCTCGCAGAATCCGGCTTTATCCGTCAATAAGCTATATTGCCGTATTTTTTTACAATACTATGCAAATTATTACATCATTATAAGTGGTTTCATGTTGGATGCACAGGGTCTAACTTTTGGGGCGTATAAATAATGGAAGAGTTGAGCGAGTGAATGAGTGAATGATTTATCCCATTATAATACCGCCATTTCAGATGTGATACTATTTATAATAGTATACTGTCGTCTTACTTCAACTTTGTTAGATAAAAAAGCCCTTGTGATATTCCGGTGCGTTAGATAAGATTTTGCCAAGTAGTCACACAACGTGATACAATATATGTCAAACGTCTTTTCTGTTACAATTGACGCAAGTCAGGTTTGGCAAATAATCCTTAGTGGAAAGGCACTCGGAATGCTCAAAGCACAAAGGATAGTGCATTCCGATTTGTGTGATAATTACCCCAATATCATATTATTATTTGGAATCCTACATGTGAGGTATTCCCAAATTCTATTAGTATCGTGTGAGAATGAGATTGGATCACGTGAAAAATTCATTATCACACATGCAAAAAACCTAAGATTATTGTTATTGTGATTGTTATTGTGATTGTTATTCTTATTCTTATTCTTATTCTTATTATTATTCTTATTATTATTATTATTATTATTCTTATTATTGTTATTGTTATTGTTACTATTACTATTGTTATTTCCATTGCTATTGCTATTTCCATTGCTATTGCTACTAGTTATTAAAAGTGATTTGCAAAAGTTTTTTTTTTAAACGTTTTATTATTTCTCCAAATATTTGACTAACTTTAATCACTTTTACATCTATCAATTGTCTATTAATTAGGCTGATGTAAGCCATTTGCGGCTACTTCAAACGACCAGCATCTTATTGTCTATAAACAGCAACCTTACCATTCGGGTCTTATTCTCAAAAGTAAGCCTCGTGAAAAAATCTGTGCGATAACCTAGAAGGAATAGATTCAATTTTCGGATGAACTGTAAATTAGAACAACTCATATGAAATAATACAATGATCAAGTGATAATACAGATGTAGTATTTATTCAAGTACAAACTTAGAAACTTAGTCTTTGTCTTATTCGATAAATCAGTTAATTTGACTTCTGCTGTCGAACACCGATTAGCTTATCCTCTGACATGTTCCATATTTAATTAATAAATAACTTCCGACTCGATCAACATACCTGCATTGCTGTGGGAAAAATAGCGGATAAATCAATGATAATTAGGGGACAGCACAACAAGTATGGTATAGTGCACACAGTACTCTGTAAAAGACGATAACTTGGGTTTTTATCAAATGACATGTTCCTTGTTATCAACAAACATTATGTGCGCACTGTTATTGACATTCATTATAGCGAACCTTATCACATGGGTATGAATGTAAATTACGTTCTTCCCTAATGTTCTTGATTGCTAAAGAACAAATTTATAATGTACTTCCTACAATTAGTATCCGCAGGCGAGGGAACCAACTTAAATGATGGTAACTTAGTTCTGGGTAACGTAAGGATTGGGTAAGCGTCTCGCGTGAACGATATCCATATTTGTATACGAAGTCGTTTTTAAAGGATGAAACTCGCTTGTGGTCTAACCATAAAAATCTTTACTATGAAAAAATTTTTTCAATGTAGTTAAACATGCACATTGGAGACATGCCTATCACAACTTGGTTCATCCACACACCTTTCGCACTCGTATAGCACCACCCATCCATCATTGCTATTTCTCAAATAGCAAGTCAATCGTGAGGGAATTGGATGGATAATGTCTGGATTGGGTTATTTTAAACGAGTGGTAATCAGTGATAAGCTTATCGGCAAATCTCCCTCGCATTTGTCATATCACGTGGCGGATTGTACAATGGAAGCACAGAGAGAACTAGATTACGAAGGTGCTCTTAGACTATA